TGAAGTCCCAAAAGTTCATTTTTGCTTTTGTTTCACTAGCTTTTCGAGATGTATCTTGAAAGAAGTTACTGTGGCCGATGTCAAAGAGGTTACTGCCTATGTTCTCCTCTAGGATTTTGATGGATTCGTCTTACATTGAGGTCTTTCATCCATTTTGAGTTTATCTTTGTGTATGGTGTTAGAGAGTGGTCGAGTTTCATTCTTCTGCATATGGCTGTCCAATTTTCCCAGCACCATTTATTGAAGAGACTGTCTTTTTTCCATTGCATATTTTGTCCTGCTTTGTCCAAGATTATTTGACCATAGAGTTGAGGGTCCATATCTGGGCTCTCTGTTCTGTTCCATTGGTCTATATGTCTGTTTTTGTGCCAGTACCATGCTGTCTTGGTGATCACAGCTTTGTAATATAGCTTGAAATCGGGCAACGTGATGCTCCCAGCTTTGTTTTTCTTTTTCAACATTTCCTTGGCGATTCAGGGTCTTTTCTGGTTCCATACAAATTTTAGGATTGTTTGTTCCAGCACTTTGAAAAATGTCATTGGAATTTTGATCAGGATGGCATCGAAGGTATAGATTGCTCTGGGTAGCATAGACATTTTAACAATGTTCATTCCTCTGATCCATGAGCATGGAATGTTTTTCCATCTTTTTGTTTTCTTGATTATACTATTTTCCTTTTATTTTCTGATGCCCTCTTCAATTCTCCAGCTCCCAACCTCCTTAGTAACAGAGAACAGAGTCATACTCATCTAAAACAACATCTGACAACATATTTGGCAGGTCCTTAAAAATGTGTTGAATGAATGAGTATCCTAAATCAATTGATCATTAACCAGTTTAAAGGCAGTTCTTTGCCCTAGAAACTATTTCTGAGTATACTTCATATACTGATACCAGTCCCTGTGTTGGGCTTCCAGCCTTTCTGTAGAAATGTCTACATCTTAGAGCTCCAGGGAGAAGGGCCAGGTTTGGCTGGTACTTTTGCTAGAAGTGCAGAAGGGATGCACAGATTGTAAATAGGTGTAGAGTATAGCTTTGGCTTATGATCTTACTACTAATTTTAAGAAAAATTACATGGTTTGACTTAAAGTATGCATAATAAGGTGAAAAATGAGTTATTCAAGCATCCACTTTCACCTTAACAACCTTCTTTTTCTTTTCTTTCTTTTTTTTTTAAATGTAAGATCAATATCCCTTAAAATATAATGGAAAGTACCAGTTTGGGTCTTTCAGCCCTCATGAGGTATCCACTGCTCATTTACTAGGCTCAGACACTTCAGTAATTCCCTGATTTGTAATTTCCTGTTATTTCTGGGCTTTAACTTCCTCCATGGGTTCTGTGCCATCTCCTAGGTATGGTTGGAGAGGTAGGTGAAGAAATGCCAACTCTTCCTGTCCTGCTTGGTCTAGTTAGTTCCCATAGTACATAGCACAAAGGTGTGAAAGCATTAGTGATTTTATTTATTTATTTATTTATTTATTTATTTATTTATTTATTTCTGAGGGTGAAGGGAAAACTCAAAGGAACTCAAAGCTTTAAATATCAGCAGTAAGGATGACTCAGTAGACATAGCCTCATGCCTTAACCAGGTGTCCTGCCCTAAATATTTGTCTCTGTCCAGGAAAAGACCTTCGGGAGGAGCTTCTCTTCTTTGTATAGGGTCCATTTGCTCTCAGTGATCCTCAATCCCTGGCACTACATTTCCTCAAATCTCACCCATTAACTGTGATAAAGGGGTCAGGGAGGCAGACTAAGATTTAATAATCTAAGGTCAAGAGAATAAATGGCAATGGGTACCCCCCCACACCAATGATAATACTCCTCCCAAAGATGAACATTAATTATGAGAGAAGTATAACAGATGAATGCCTTGAAGAGAAATGAGTTATTTTTCTAACTGCTACATAATTTGCAAGACAACACTCTCCCCAGCAGTCTGGACATCTTATTATTTTGCAGAAAATACATAATTCCGTTTTCTCCATCCTATCCCCACCTTCATCCTTCTGCTCATGCCATTTTAAATTGCACTCTTTGGGCCTGCTTAGAATAAGAGAAGGGCTATTATGGGGCCAGGTCCTCATCCAAGGCTGCTCTTTAATAGAAAGATGCTTCATGATTGCCGTCCCATTAAGGAATAGATTAACTCCTTATCTGAGAGTCTGCCTTACCCTCAATTTCTAACTAGCAGGAAGGGAGCCCATGGATTAATCTTCCCCTTGTATGATATGGGTAATTGATGGTCTTTGTGCACAATAGCCAGGTCACATGATCTAACAAAGGATTTATTTTTTTCTGATTCATGCTTCACTTTCATTGTCTTACAAAAGAATAAAAATCAAGCTGAATTTAAGTATTTTGTGCTGGGTTTAACTGATCACTATTCCCAAAGAAAAGAAAATTATACAAACTCTCCTAGAAAATTCAGCCAGCATGGTCATCATAACTTTATGATATATACTCCAGTTAATTAAGAAAAATGTTCAAGTCATTAAAGATAAATCTTAAAAAAAGAAAATCTTGAATATGTGGCCATGTATCCTGGTGAGGCTAAAATCGGTGAAAGACAGAACTGAATGCCAAATGATAATTTCTGCTAAATAATTCAGGCCATCTGAACTCTGATATTTTACTTACTTAAATGAGTATAATGGTTACAATTAGAGACTGTCTCCCTCATGGTGGCGGACACAATGTGCTCTCACCTCATCGTGGACCCTGTTTTCCTTGGGTAACTCACATTTGCACATGTCTCCTGTATTCCCTGTGTCTGGCACTAGTAGCCACTAAGTAAATGTAGGTTGAAGTCCGTAACTGAAAATGTTTTGATGATGATTGTCATGAAGAAAAAAAAATGTTGCAGAGCAAAAACTAGACATTTCAATGAGAAAGCACGTACTGAATGGAGCACTGGGTGTTATACACAAACAATGAATCATGGAACAGTCCATCAAAAATAATGATGTAATGTATGGTGATTAACATAACATAATAAAAAAAATGTCTATGGTATATCTTATTTTCAACAGAATGGAATGGGAAAAAAGAAATTTTAGGACTCGGGGTTCCCTCTAATGTTATTTTTTTTCTTTCTTCCTTGTAGGGAAGTGACGCCGATATGGTGGATAAGAATAAATGCTGTACACTCTGTAACATGTCCTTTACCTCGGCAGTGGTGGCTGACTCACATTATCAAGGCAAAATCCATGCCAAAAGGTTAAAACTGTTGCTAGGAGAGAAAACCCCACTAAAGACCACAGGTATGTGTGTGAACAATGACCACGGGAGATGCTGAGGTCGGAGCGCTGCGCCTGTCCCGTTAATTGTGCTCCCTTTTCAGAAGAGGCTGCCTGAATAGAGTCTAAAAGTAGATGCCCTTCAAAATCTAAAGGGACGGGCAGGTAGCCCAGCAGACCTTGCTGTCCTAAGACTATTAAATACAATTGCAGGTGCTCATTCTCTCACCCTCGCTCTGTCAGATTAGTAATTCAGCAGCTGGCATCTTCTGCAAGGCTGTTTGCATCCTGCAGGATGTTGTCTATCATATTCATTATATCTTATGTAAGATACTGTACCTATTATGTAATGAATGCTGTTCTTCTGTAGCTTCAGTGTGTAATCCGTATGGGTAACAGGTGGTGTTTTGTGTCTAGTGGGTCGATTCACTGCCTGTGCCTGTGTAATGCAGGCTATCATCCTGCCCCTATCTTGGTGAGGGTGGGCACGAGGAAAACTGTGGTCTTTAAAAACAGTTTCCTTTGTAGACAACTAAGGTGTTTTTTATTCCCCCCACCCCGAGGTGACAATTCCTGTTGTTGTCTGTAATTCAAGCCTGTTAACTTTCACAACAAAAAGCTTAAATATTGATAAAAGATCATTTGACCCTGTAATTGCTCAACTAAAATAATTCTTCATAAGTCTATCCAATTATGAAACTAAAATACTGTTATAATTGAATTGAGTTAGACTATTTGGACAGGGTTTAAATTGTGGTGAAGATGTTCCTAGGCTGGGTTATAATCCCAAGAAGTTAGGGTATATTTCATGATGTCTATTCTTCCAATGCAATTAAAATTTAGCAGTGCATTTTATCTTTCTGTCTAATGAATCGTGCATAAATCGTGGGCATAATTATTTTTTAAATGGTATTTTGGAGATTGCAGAGAGCCTAAAACAATACTTGGCTTTTATTCTCACCAGTGTTTTCCTTAGGAAAAATATCTTCATTCACCTAGATAATAGCAAGTAATCTTTCCACTGTATTTTTCTACTTAGTTTAACTAAAGGGTGTTGTTTTTGTAAAGGTGGCTATGATGTTCAGAAATCTTGAGCTTAGCTCGGCTTTTTCCTGGGCACACTCCATGTGCTAGCATTTTATAAGCAGTCACTCGGTTGAAACTCCTGATTCTTGCTCTCTGAAAGGTTGGATATTCACCTTGTAACCTACTCCCCAACAAATTTCCTAAAATAGACACCTCAAAGAAACAGTCACTGGAAAATTTTTACCTGTTTTCCACGAATGAGTAACTAGCCCATTTGTTCTTTCTGCCTAAGCAGAGAATTGCTGTTAAATTTAATTTTAGACGTAGTGATGGAAGAGGAGAAGCTCTATCTTTGTTTATCATGTCAATTAACAAAGGGGAGAGTTATTATTTCTGTAAAAAATAATTACCACGTGGCACAAATAGTTCTTTGTGAATTTAAATATATCCTCCAGATAACCAAGCACCAGTTTGTTTTCCTGAATTCAAATACCCTCCGAGCTGGTAAATATAACTTGGGGGTAATTTATTAGTTCCCATCAGTAAATTCCAAATGAAATATCAAGAGCACTTAAACTGCAAACTTTACTTCATGACTTTGTTTTGATGTCCACAGAGCTGGCCCAGTCATCAGTGTGACCAAAATCACGTTGCCAGTTAGGCCAGAAGGGGATGGGGGTGGGGTGGGAGGTAAGTAGCTCTATCAGCTTGTAGCTTGAGCTGGGGAAACAGATTTCAGCTGCTTTATGCCAGAATCTCCCTTCCTCATCTAACTCACAGTGCCCAGGCTGCACATCCCCCTTCTGGAGCTTAGGCTCTCATCTGTTCTCTTTAAAGCTGCTTGGACCCGAAAGGGTCTTGGAGGATAGCAACACCAGACAGAATTAGAGGGTCTGGGAGCTAAATTGGTCCCTGGGCTTGGGTTGATGTCAACCCAGCTGCTGGCAGGGACCAGAGGAAGCAGTGTGTCCTGCTAGGGCCAGGTGAGTCATTAGGTACAAGGATAAGCAGAGAGTAGGCATTGGGAGGTGTGGCAGTGGATATGATTTGAGGGCTTAATGGGAGAGTGGAACCTAGCAATGGAGAGTCTAGGGACAGAGATCCTGCAGAGAACAAGCTGGGTACTGGCATTGGGAAAGTCTGCCAGGTGGTAGCAGGGCCCTGGCTGCAGGCTGGTGAAAGTAAAGACTGTTAGAGTGTGGCAGGGCACCATAATTTAAGACAAGAGGACTGGGATAGAAGTCAAGTGTAAGGAACAAATCAGGAACCTGGTTTCCAGACTGAGGATATAGGTTGAAGCTTGATCTCAAACACAAATTCACATACTATAAGTAAGGATAAGGACCAAGAGGCATGAGAAAAGAACACCTAGGCCATGGGCCTCCTGAGCTACTAAGTTCAATCTCTCCAGCTCCCTGAAGAGAGTCAGGACGATCTGCCATCCTTCCTTGCTGCCTGAGGCCAAGCCCAGTGGCCATTCTTGAAGGACGTCACCCTCTAAGCTGTGGCTGCCCTCTGCACATCTAGGAACAGCTCTGCCTAATCAACCAGCTTGGCTTGAAATTATTTCTGTAATGAAAACAAAAGGGAGAAAAAAAAGAACATATAAAACCCAAACCAACTGAATTAAGATGCTAGAGAGAAGCAAGTCCCCTGCTCAGGTGTGCCGGGTAAGCTACCCCTCCCAGAATCACAGGCTCTTGAACTGTAGTGATTTCTGGGTAGGGATAATTGAAGCACAACTCAGTGTTTCCCCCAGCTACTCTATCTGATGAGGGTGAGCAATTGGTGTCTGTGAATCATTACCTTTCCACCTACTCAAGATGTGCTTTGATCAAGCATCAACTGGATATCTTGCAGAAGTATTGCAGTTAGGGTTGTCTTCTGCAGATGGGAACATGTTTACTAGAATTTCTGAAATGCTTGACAGAGCTGCTGGCACAAATACCAGCTCCCATTCTTGTTGTTTAGTGTGCTTCAGAATCTCTGTTCTTGTTCATGATGAAAGCTTGAGGAGAATTCTCGGCCCACTGTATTCTTGAAGGGTCAGCAGACCTCAGCATGGTTGTCTAGCCCAGATTGGAGGCTGGCCAGGGGTTGCCACACCATGAGAAGGATTTAGAGGAGGTTGGAACAGTGAAAGGCATGACAATCCTCTCTTTAGGGGGAGAATAAAGGAAGCAGAGGTGGTTTAGCAATGGAAAAGAGATTGCTCAGGGGCCAATCTTTGGAAGGCTGTTATGGGAAAAAAGAGATTCATGGTATGTGTGTGTATGTGTGTGTGTGAGTGTGAAAGGGTATGTAAAAATATATGAGTGTGTGTGTGGGAGTGTGTGAGAATAGGTGAGCATGTGTGCATGTGTGTGCATGTGTGAGTGTGAGAGAACATTGTGAGAATACTTGAAAGTGTGTGTTTATGTGTGCATGGGTGTCAGTATGTAAGAATATGTGAATGTGTGTGTGTAAAGGAGTGTGTCAGAATATGTGAGTGTGTGAGAGAATATATGTGTATGCATGCGTGTCAGAGAAAGTGTGCAAGAATATGTGTGTGTGAGAATATGTGAGAGCACGTGTATGTGTGCATGTGAGTGTGCGAGGGCGTTATGAGAATATGTGAGTGTGTGCGCGTGTGAGTGTGCGAGAATATGAGAGTGTGTGAGAGAATATATGTGTATGCATGTGTGTCAGAGAGAGTGTGCAAGAATGTGTGTGTGAGAATATGAGAGCATGTGTATGTGTGCATGTGAGTGTGCGAGGGCATTATGAGAATATGTGAGTGTGTGTGCATGTGAGTGTGCGAGAATATGAGTGTGTGAGAGAATATATGTGTATGCATGTGTAAATCTGAGTGTGTGAGTGTGCATACGTAAGTATAAGTGTGTGAGAATGTGAGTGTGTGTGAGAATATGTGAGAACGTGTATGTATGTGTGAGTGTGAGTGCGTGTGAGGGAGTATGTGAGTGTGTGCTTGGATGCAACAGATGTACCCAATGAGTGGGTAGAAAATTAAGGAGTTAGATCTGAACTCAAGATAAGAAAAAGATTACTAAGTTTCAGAGATACTAGATTTCTGTAATGAAACCAAAAGGAAAGCCAACCAACTGGATAAGATGCTGGAGAGAGCAGCGCCCTGCTCAGGTATGCGGCCGTGTAAGCTGTCCCTCCAGAGTAGCAGGCCCTGGAGCTGACGGCAGACTCAGGTGGGATGTGTGGCCGAGGGGGCGGGGTGTTGTTGAAGCAGAAGCTGGTTGATACTTGGCAGGGTATTTCTTGAGGGGATTCCATCCGGAGACATCAGCCTAGATGACATTTAAAGTCTTTCCACCCCGATTCTCTGCCCGATGCTACCTGTCGGCTTGACCCACTGACCTGATAGGCAGCAAGAATGATGGTCTGGGAGTCAGGAGACAGGAGCCCAGGCCCCAGCTTGGCCTAAGGTACTGTGTGATCTTTGGTAGGTCCATTATCCTTTCCAACTTCACTTGTCTCATCTGTCATTTCATTCTAACTCCAGATGCTGTTACCTCATTGGCCCTTTTATGGAGCAAACGATAGATTTAAAAAGCTTTGGAAAGTAGAAGGTTATTCGCAGGTGAGCATGTGGTAAATAAGTTGATGGGGTGGGGGGACAGCCTAACTCCTTTCTATCAAAGACTCTGACTTCCTGGTTAACACGGGGTTGTTCAAATACTACCTTGGGAACAGCACAAAGGGACATCGTGTGTGTCTCCTTGGAGACAAGACTGTGATAAGTTCCATGACCAAGGCAGGCAGGGCCTAGCACTGGAGCTGCCCACTGGAGTTAGGCAGTGCTGGTGGGCATGGGGGTCAGGGGATGGCTGCTGGGCTGAGGAGACAAAAGGGCCCTGGGCGTGAAGGAGACCCATCAGGGGGAGGGAGACCCAGTCACTAAGCTGGGGGGTAGCACCCTGGATCAGCAACTGATAATTGGCAAGTAAATGCAATAGAAAATAATTTTCAAGACTAGAACTCAAGAT